CTCTGTATCATTCCAGTTTTAATGTATGTACTGCCACAGCAAGCAAAAATACATATTTATTCTTTCTTTGGTACTAAGGATTGAACCCAGGGGCACTTAACCACTGAGCCACATACCCAACCCTTTTTGAGACAGGGTCTCACTAACTTGCTGAGGCTGACTTTGAACTTGTAATCCTCCTGCCTCAGCTTCCTGAACATCTGGCATTACAGGTATGCACCACCACACCTGGCTTTTTTTTTTTTTTTCCTGAGATGAAATCTTACTATGTTGCCCAGGCTGTCCTTGAACATAGGATCCTTCCACTTCAGCCTCCTGAGTGGCTGGGATTATGGATGTGTGCCATTGTGCATAGCTAATTATAACTTTATTAAAAAGCACATGAAAAACACATAACAGCTGGGCATGGTGGCAGCCACCTATAATCCCAGCAGCTCAGGAAGCTGAGGCAGGATGATTATAAATTCAAAGCCAGGGCTGGGGCTGGGGCTCAGTGGTAGAGTGCTTGTCTTGTATGTGTGAGGTCCTGGGTTCGATCCTCAGATTCACAAAAAAATAAATAAATAAAAATAAATATATTGTGTCCACTTACAACTAAAAAATATTTTAAAAAAATAAATAAATAAAATAAATTCAAAGCCAGCCTCAGCAACTTAGGGAGAGCCTAAGCAACTTAGTGAGACTCTGTCTCAAAAATTTAAAAGGGCTGGGGATGTGGCTCAGTGGTTAAACACCCCTGGGTTCAATCACCAGTACAAAATAAATAAATAAATAAATAAAAGGAACTTATAACAGATTTATAAATAGTTCTATTTGCTTTAGTATTATTTATAGTAATATATATTCTATTATTTATGAAAAAGAACTAATTGTTAAATCCTAACTGCAAAGCCCATCTATTTCCACAAAACAGGCAAATATAAATCACAGTCCAGTATGCAACTAACCAACCACACACAACCACTAAGATCTTCAAGTTTCCCCAGGTTTATACAAGTTATTAGCACTTTAAATCCTTAGAAACTGATGAAACAATGGGCTACAAGAAAATCTGATTTTATTACATGAGATAAAAAAATAAAAATTCCAAATTAATACTGAGATATTACTTTATTATAATAAACCAATGTCCATTTTTAGAAAATGAGGCTAAACTGCTGTTCTGTAATTATATTATAACATAAGTTTCCTGAGAACACAATTACATTTTGGTAATTGTAATTAATAAAGAAAAACATGATACATGGCACTGAATTCAATACCCAGCAACGTGCGCGCGCGCGCACACACACACACACACACACACACACAAACTTATCCTCAGATAACTTACATTTAAAATAGAGGGGGAATTAACTTAGAATTCCATATATCAATCAGATCATAGGCGCTCAGAAAAAAGGTTCTCTGAGGGCCGTGTGTGGTGGTGCATCCCTGTAATCCCAGAAGCTTGGGAGGCTGAGACAGGCAGATCAAGAGTTCAAAGCCAGCCTCAGCAAGGACGAGGTACTAAGCAACTCAGTGAGAACCTGTCTCTAAATAAATTATAAAATAGGGCTGGGGATGGGCTTAGTGGTCAAGTGCCCCCAATTTCAATCCTTGGTACCAAAAAAAAAAAAAAAGAAAAGAAAAAAGGTCCTCTGAAGTAAGAGTAGAAGATAATGGAATCTGAGATGTAGAAAAGCCTATTGTATGATAAAAAAAAATACTAATGGTGTTAAATGGATAGTTTTTGTTAAATAACCTTTTCCTGATAAGATTATATATATATATATATATATATAAAATCACAGGAAACTACAAAAGAGAATTCCTACCCCATCTCATATATGTATTTTCCGAAATTAAACATTCTTTAAAGACATCATCATTTTTAGTAAACAGTAACTTAAGATTCCATCACACGCATATGCCATGATCTAACCGCTGCCCTACTGATAGGCATTTAGTTTATAATTTTTCACTACCATAAATACTTCTAAAGTAAACAACAGTAGTATACACAAATCAGTAAATTTACAAATTTAAAGACCTCATTTAAGCCAAGTGTGATGGCACACGCCTATAATCCCAGAGACTGAGGCAGGAGGATCCCAAATTCAAGGTCAGCCTTTGCAACTTAGTGAGGCTCTGTCTCAAAATAAAAAATAAAAAAAGCACTGGAGGTGTAGTTCAATGGTAAAGCACCCTGGAGTTAATCACCAATATCAAAAAAAAAGGAAGCATGAGAAGCTGGAGTAAAATAAAGGAAAGGACATCATAAAGAACCATTCAGGGCTATAGCTATAGCTCAGTGGTAGAGCTCTTGCTTAGCACGTGTGAAGCTCTGGGTTTGATCCTTAGCACCACATGAAGATAAGTAAATAAAATAAAGGTGTTGTGTCCATCTACAACTAAATATATATATATATATTAAAAAAAGAACCAATCATACAAATTAATAGACAAGCAAAAGGAAGTCTAGTAAACAAACAATGGGAGAAGGAGAACAGGAGAGATGGAACAGCAGAAGATCATGAACAGGAACTGAATTCCATGCACGTTTGAGTTTGTTGGGATGAACCCAACATACTATGTATAACTATAAAGCTCTAGTAAAAGAAGACTATCTTTAGTAAGTGCCTTATACCAAAATAAATAACAAATGCATAAAAATGTAAATGTAAAACTTAAAATGTACATACCATAATTAAAGAGAAATGTCACATTAAAATATACATTAAGGGCTGGGGCTGTAGCTCAGCGGCAGAGCACTTGCCTAACATGGGTGAGGCACTGGTTTGTTCCTCAGCACCACATAAAAATAAACAAACAGAGCAAAAGAATTCTATCTACAACTACAAAATTTTTTAAATATACATTAAGTAAAAACTCAAAGTGAGATTCAATTTGAAGAAATGTTTATCAAACTCAATCAGCAGGTTTTCTTACTGAATCAAAGTAGTTTCTCTTTCTCTTTAGAATCTTTTGTTATCACCACGTTATACATGAAACACCTTCCATAGACTAAAGAATGTAAACTTTTAGGGCTGGGATGTAGCTCAGTTGGTAAAGTGCCTGCCTCACATGCACTAAATTGCCAAGGTTGTCTTCAAACTTGCAATCCTCCTGCCTCAGCCTCCCAAATCATTGGGATTACAGGCATGCACCACCACACCCAGTATATTTTTTGTTATTAATATCAGTGTCTTGAAATTTTTGCCTTATATTTGATTAAATTTAGACTTGAGGGGATAGGGGTATAGCTCAGTTGCTTATTAGGCAATAGGCCCTGGGTTTGATTCTCAGCATTGCAAAAACAAACAAAAAAACCCCAAACCTCAGTTTTTTACTTTATAAACAAACAGGAGAAAATATCTTTTAAGAATATTTTTTCCTGGTTCAGGTATGACGATATGCACCTATCATGCTACTGGAAAGACTGAGTGAGATGGGAGGTTCAAATTTAAGACAAACTTGAGCAATACAGCCAGACCCAGTATAAGAAAAAAAAAAAAAATCTCTCCTGGGACCCATGTATTTTCACATCCATTTATCAGAGATTGACATTCCCATTATATTTCTATACCTTCAAGAGTCTAATTTTGGGGAATAAAAGGAAAGAGGGTTGGGACTAGGAAAAACAGCAGTATGTTCATATATGAATACTCAACCAGTGTAATTCCATAGCCTGTACAACCACAAGAATGGGAAGTTATACTCCATATATGCATAATATGTCAAAACACATTCTGTCATGTATAAAAAGAATAAAAAGTTTTAAAAGAGTCTAATTTCATTTATAAGTATATTCTTTATTCACTCTTAAGGATCAAAAGTGATAGTACATGCTAATTCTACAAAAAGCATACTTCTAATCACTATATAAAGAAACACTGAATTGATAGAAAATCTACTTATTATCAACAATTTATTTGAACAAATGTTTATACCTGCTTTAAGTGGCCCATGAGAATATACACCTATATAAAACTGTTTTAAAAACAACCAACTGGCTGGGCACAATGGCACACACCTGTAACCCCAACATCTTGGGAGGCTGTGGCAAGAGGATCATGAGTTCAAAGTCAGACTCAACAACTTGCTAGAGGCACTTAGTAAATCAGTGAGACCCTGTCTCTAAATAAAACACAAAAAAGGGATGGAGATGTGGCTCAATGGTTAAGTGCCCCTAGGTTCAATCCTTGGTATCAAAAAATAATAATAGGGCTGGGGGTGTGCCTCAAGCGGTAGCACACTCGCCTGGCATGCGTGGGGCCCGGGTTCGATCCTCAGCACCACATACAAACAAAGATGTTGTGTCTGCCAAAAACTAAAAAATAAATATAAAAAAATTCTCTGTCTCTCTCTCCCTCTCTTTAAAAAAAATAATAATAATAAAATAAAACAAAACAACTGTTATAATAGTAATGAATATATACTTTGGGCTGGGTGTATAGCCCAGTGGCAGATACTTGCTGAGCATAGGCAAGGCCCTGGCTTGATCCCTAGTACCACACACATAATACAAATCCATAAACAGGAACTGTGGCTTTTGCCTGCATCTTAGCAGGCAAAGAAGTTCTATGAAACTAAAAATAATTGTATGCTATACAGCAACAAAGGCTGTACATGTTTATTTACCTATGATAGCTAATTTCACCAACATAAACCTATATAAATAAAGGTAATAATGGAAAGAACTGCTCTAATTAAGAGCTTTAATTGTTTTAATTCAATCCACTATGGAATTTCAATTATGAAATACTTTTTTAGTGCTCATCAGATAAAAACTTCCAATAACCAATATTCTCACAAAAACAGAATAAGAGGGGCTGGGGATGTGGCTCAGTGGTAGAGTATTTGCTAGTAAGTGTGAAGCCCTAGGTTAAATTCTCAGCACCACAAAAATAAATAAATTAAGTAAAACTATGGAATCAACTCAAAAAAAAAAAAAAAACAAACACACAAACAAACAGAAATACAGATTGTTCTGAATGGGACTGTCCTGATTATCTCACCAGATTGATCAGCCTTCTCATCGCATGTTCATGAGAGCAAACACATTCACAGGGATCGAATCCACCTTCTGCCATGATTACCCAGCTTGATTTTACTTGACTGTTTAAATCTAGGAGGAAGGAAAAAATAGTATAAGACTACTATTCAGTTACTCATTCTTTTGAGCATTAAAAAATTCATTATATAGATTCATAATAGATTTAATTATATAGTTCATATTTATTAATGACCTACACCTGTGTAGTTATTGCTAATTCTATAAGATTATGAATTTATCATATGAATTATGAATCTATACAAGTGAATTTTACTTGCCATCAGACCAATTTCCTAAAAAGCAAACATCTTCAGATGCTTTTAAACTGGGCCCACTTAGGATGATAGTGCCTCTTCTGAATTACTTTTTTATCTTTTATTAGTTCCAGTAATCAAAATTTAAAGCAACCTTTACCTCATCAAGAAAGTAGTCTGAAAGAAAAAAAATTAAGGTATCTTTATTAATACCAAGTTTGTTTGTTTTTGGTGCCAGGGACTGAACCCAAGGGTGCTTAACCACTGAGCCACATTGCCAGCCCCTGTTTAAAATATTTTATTTAGGGACAGAGTCTGCTAAGTTGCTTGAGGCCTTGCTAAGTTGCTAAGGCTGGCTTTGAACTCATAATTCTCCTTCCTTAGCTTCCAGAGCTGCTGGGATTATAGGCATGTGCTACCACGCCCAACTGATACCAAGGTTTACAGAAGGAAATTAATAATGATAGTTAGGATATAGCTAGGTTGATTCTGAAAAACAGAGAGGCCGAGATGGAGTACTAGCAACCAGATTTAACCTTCTCTTTAAAGCAATTTTTGAAAACTGAATAAATGAATAGTGGTTTTAAAACCTCTGAACATCAGGCAATAAAGATGACAAGATTCCTGAGAGATGGGAGAACAAATGAGATGAGTGCAATGATTGATTCAGTTTAGTGCTTGGAGGAGTTTTTTAGGCAAAGTACAGGAAGAGGAAATGATCTGAAATAAGACCAAAGAAGTTAGAAGGAGGCCAGGCCACACAGTCTTTCAGGCCTTATTGGGGATTATGTCTTTACCCAAAGAGCAATGCAAAACCCATAGTTTTATCCTGGCACACTTTGAAAAGATCATTTGGCTGCAATATGGAAAACTGAGAGAAGTCTGACTAGATAAAGGGAACCTAGTTAAAATGCTCTTTCAATAGGACATTGATAATGGTGCATGTTGTAGAAATATATAGATTTTGATGACAGCATATAAAATCACTGGGAAGAAAACAAAGTATTCCATAAACTGTGTTCAGATAATTGGCTCTCTCACTATTCTCATTCTTTAATCTAAAATAAATTTTAGAATCCATGAATGATTTAACTTTTTAAAATGAAGTCACACATAGAAATAGTCAAATAAAAAAAGGATCAGTATAATGTCCACAAACTAACCCACACATACAACTGCAAGAAAATGACTAGGGTACACACAGAAGGACAAAAAGCTAAGAAACCATAAAGGAACGTATCTATTTTAACAATCAAAAACAGTAAATAAGGGGCTGGAGCTGTGACTTGGCAGTAGCCCACTTGCCTGGTATGTGTGAGGCACTGGGTTTAATTCTCAGCACCACATATAAATAAATAAATAAAGGTCTATGAACAACTTAAATGTGTGTGTGCATACATATACACACACGTGTGTGTGTACATACATACACACACATATACAAAAACAGTAAATAATAAACAAAATACACTATAAAATGAAAAGACAAACTTAGAAAAAACATCTACATTATATATCAGGGCTAATATTTTCATACTGAAAAATCAATATGAAAATAGCAACCTAACAGAAAAATAGGCAAAGACCATGTTCACAGAAAAATACAGCCAATAAGCAAACACAAAAGAAATGTAAATCAAAACAGTGCCATTTTTACCTATCAGAAGATTGGTGACACATGATTATAATTCCGTCTACTTGAGATGCTAAGGCAAGAGAATCACAAGTTCAAGGTAAGCCTGGGCAATTTAACCAGACTATCTAAAAAGTAAAAATAAAAAGGTCTAGGGATGTAACTTGCCTAACAAGCACAAAGCTCTGGGTTCAACTCCCATTACCACACAAAGAGAAAGACTGGTAAAAGTAATTTGGACATTCATATCAAAATACATATCAAATTTGGTGGCAGGGGTAGGGTAAGTGATTGCTGGGGATTGAACCCAGAGCTTTGTGCTCTACTACTGAGCTACACCTCTAGTCCCCAAAAATGCAAAAATTTTTATAAGAATGTTCACTAGAATATCATAAGAGAAAAAAAGGTTATGCAAAGTGTCTATCAGGGTTGTTCTGATGAAATAAATGATAGTATATGAGATCCTATTCAGGTGTTAGAAAGAATTAGATTTTATGTGGTGATTTGGGGAAATATCTAAGTTGCAAAACTATCAGGGCAAATCTACCTTCCATCTAAAACCTGTTTGTCAGAGCTAAATAGAAGGGAGGTAGAGCCTAAACTGGAGAGCCTTGCCTTCCAGAAGCTAGGAAATACAATATACAAATGTGATTAATTCATGTTTTTGTCCAAGACTATTCTGTCCCTTTTTATTTTTATTTTTATTTTTTTTTTTTGGTACCAGAGATTGAATCCATGGGCTCTGAGCTACAATCTCAGCCCCTCTTATTTTGAGACCGGGTCCTGCTAAATTGCTGAGGTCTCAGTAAGTTACTAAGGCTGGCTTTGAACTTGCAATCCTCCTGCCTTAGCCTCCTGAGTCTCTGAGATTACAGACATACACCACCATGCCCAGCCTCTCACATCTTTAAAATTGATTAGCTTTCGAGCTGGGGTTGTGACTGAGTGGTGGAGTGCTGGCCTAGCATGCTTGAGACACTGAGTTCAATCCTCAGCACCACATAAATGTAAAATAAAAGATATTGTGTCTACTTAAAACTAAAAAATAAATGTTAAAAAAATTGACTAGCTTTCATGTTAGTGAACTGTGCACATACAACACAGAAAGCTCTCAAAGTAAATATAATCTACCTTGATGGGTAGATAAAATTCACCCTTGAAATTTCTCAATAGGGTAGAGACTGCTGACATGGATATAATCAAGCGGAGACTAACATTGGTCCTTGGTCCTCCATATCTGTATACCCCCAGACCAATGGTACTGGTTAAAATTAAAAGAAATTTTACTAAGATTTAAAAAAAAATAAATGCAATTACAAAATGCTGAATACCTTCCCAGTTCCAAAGCCTCTGAGCATGGAAATTTTAAGAAAGCACTAGAATGATTTTGCTAAAGAAAAAAATGTTTAGGGGGCTGAGGTGGTGGCTCAGTGATAGAGTGCTTGCCTAGCATGTATGAGGCACTGGGTTAGATCCTCCGCAGCACATAAAATCAAACTAATATGTATCCACCTAAAACTAAAGATACATAAATAAATAAATATTTTTTAAAAAGAAAGAAAGAAAGGTTTAGCCAGGCACAGTGTAACACTCCTGTAATCCAGCAGTTTAGGAGGCTGAGGCAGAATATCTCAAGTTCAAAGCTAGCCCCATATGTATATATGTGACTGCATGACCAATGTGATTCTGCAACCTGTACACTCAGAAAAATGAGAAATTATACCCCATCTGATTCAAATGTATGACATGTCAAGATCATTGTATTGTCATGTGTATCTAATTAAACAAATTTTAAAAATAGGAAAAAAAAGCTAGCCCCAGCAATTTAGCAAGGCTTTAAGCAACTTAGTGAGACCCCCATCTCAAAATAAAATTTTAAGAAAGGGCTGGGGATATGGTTAAGTGCCCCTGGGTTTAATCCCTAGTAGCAAAAAAAAAAAAAAAAAAAAAAAAAAAAGTTTGGTTTTATTACTGTACCATACATTAAAATGGTAAAACACAGTTATTTTCAATTCTCTGCTTATTTCTAATCTGTTTGATTAACAAAATTAGGTTTTATTCCTCTTCCCTGAAAAAAAAAAAAAAAAAAAAGATTCTTCAGGACAGGAACCTTAGCTGTTCTTAATTGTTACCATCTCCAAATACCTCATTTACTGTTTCAGCCACTGTATTCATGAAAAAATATTAACTGAATTATTGACAATGTTTATTCTCTCTATATCTATAAATGCCAGGAACAATGTAAACAAACTAGAATTTTTAATTATATTCCAGTCTTGATTAATCACAAGTAAATGAAAAAGTACATTTATAAATACGACATTCCTGAGATTTAGTGCTGAGCTTCTGTAGAACTTCCTTCAAGTAATCTCAAACTGTTTTTTTTGTTTTTTTTTTTTTCTTGGTAATGAAAATGTTACATTTTATTTCTTAGGAAAGAGTTGACTAATTGCTGATGTAAACAATACTACATTTTTTCTACATTGAGGTTGGTTAAACAACTCCAAAATTCACACCACTCTTCCTCCTTCTCCAGCATTTGGCTTAAATCTATTCAGGAGCAGTGGAATCACTACTTTTTGACTCCTCAAAAATAAACAAACATTCTTGCAAGCATGAGGCACTGGATTAGATCCTCAGCACCACATAAAAATAAACAAATAAAATAAAAAAAAATAAACAAACACATCTTTTCTGCAGTCAAACTGTTTTAATTACTACTTAGTTTCCAGTTAACAGTTTCCATTTTAAGATCACCTTCAGAGAAATGAAAAAATGCTCCAGAGAACTTGGAGCAGGCTATCTATTCCCTACAACCTTTTTTTTTTTTTTTAAACACAATGGACACAGCTGGTTAAGACCCAAGAACAATCTCAATATATATCAGCAGCTAAAGGACTAGAGCAAAAAGAAAAAAGAAAAAAAAAAGAGCAGTCCCAACCACCCCATATTTAAATCCCTTGATCTCCAGATAGGACAAGAAGCTGCTCTATCCTGAGTGAGAGAGAACAGGGTTACTGAATCAGAACTTGGTAAATCTGCCTCAAAGAGGTCTTCAGTAGAAGGAAATTTGAAATAATGATTTTACCCTTCCTGATTCATAGAGTTGTTAGCCTCCTCTATTTCCTTAATTTTAGAAAACAACGCTAATATCAAAAAGGCATGATCCTGGCTAGGTGCAGTGG